ATTAATAGATTTCTCTCTCTCTCTCTCTCTCTTTTAAATTAGTTATTCATATTCATGTTTATTGTTAAGCATAGACGGACAAGATTTGCGTCAAGATGATATTACTCGTAATTTGTCTTCTTACCTGAAGAAATTTTGTAAAAATGAAAAAGAACGAAGTATATATAGTATATAAAGTATACATAGTATGCGAGAAGAGAGAATAAAAGGAACAATCGCCGCAGGTATCCATGTACGAGTTGCCGTCTAGAGAAGGAAAATCAGGCATCAATATGTGTGGAACGAATCCCGATAATAAAATGCAAATTTCATTGCAGCCGCATCGAGAGACACAGAGCGAGGTTCGTTTCCACCTGTCGTGCTAGCATCATCTCTTTAAATACGTTCGTATAGCTAAGCGCACATTTCGATCTCTGTCGAAATATTCCACAATTTCGAGAGATTGTTTGACGTTTGTTCGCATTGACTGCCCTATCGCCCTTTCCTCTTGTGTTCTTTATGATACATTCGCGTTTCTGTTTCTGTATGATACATTCGCGTTTCTCATTTCCTTCTTCTCTTCTAATAGGAAATTGATTCATTGCAGAATAAACATGAAAGTTAAATAATTCTTCCACCTCCCTCCCTCTCTGTCTCTTATTTTTTCCTCTCTGTTAATTACAATTACACCATATTGTCATCTATCTTTTTTTTTTTTTAAACTTAGAATATATAAATCGTAGAGTGCTTCATACGCGCGATTATCTTAGACTGTAAGGTACGGGCGAAAGTCGAACAAAATTGTTCGATCGTGATGCAAGCCATTCGCCTTTCTCTGTATATATTAATGTAAACTGTAATCTTTTATATCGCTAAACTTATATGATATATCTTATACAATGCCCGTAAGGTATGTATACTTATCTAAATTATACAACATGCTATGAAAAGTAAAATATATTTCGTATTTTATACAGTTGCATGTATTCGACTCTATTCAATGTTCATTTTTCTTAACTCCTGCTAACGATTCCTTCTTCCAATGCGAGCGGTTGCATTTTATAAATCC